CTGGGGCTGCTGGGGGGCTGGCTGGGCTGGCTGGGCTGGGTAGCCATGCCAGGTGGGTCCTGACCTTCAGAGCTCAGAGCCCTCACCTGTCACCTCCTAACCATGGGTGCCACGCGTCTCTGCCGAGGGCACAGAACCCTGGGCGTAACCAGGCTCCTTTCCCAGCTGGAGCTCCAGTGGCACAGCGGGTCCTTCCTCGGGGACGTGTGCCCAGAAGGCCACCCCGGGCACTCCCAGGTCACCGCCCGGAGTCCGGGGCCAGGGCAGCGTCCAGTGTGTTTGGCAGGAATGACCGAGCACGGGGCAGAGGCCTGCGCTGGGGCCGGAGGGCGACAGGTGGGGCACAGGCACCCAGAGGAGCTCACAAGCTCAGAGGTGTCACCACGCGGGAGTCCCCAGCCCCTCGGAGAGCCACTCCCTCGGAGGTTCTTCAGAGCGGTCTCCGCGCCTTCTGCCTCTGCCTTTCCATGACGATTTCAGAATCCGCTTGAAACTTTTCTCAAAAAGAAGAAAGGAGCCGAAATCTGGTTTGGCTCAGCGGTGGAGCGTCGGTCTGCGGACTGAAAGGTCCCAGGTTCGATTCCGGTCAGGGGCATGTTTGTTGGTTGCGGGCACATCCCCGATAGGGGATGTGTAAGAAGCAGCTGGTCGATGTTTCTCTCTCATCAATGTTTCTAGCTCTCTATCTCTCTCCCTTCCTCTCTGTGGAAAATCAATAAAATATATTATTTAAAAAAAAAAAAAAAAAAAAAAGCCCAGCTGGTGTGGCTCAGTAGATAGAGCGCCAGCCTGTGGACCGAAGGGTCCCGGGCCCGATTCTGGTCCAGGGCATGGACCTCGGTGGCAGGCTCCTCCCCAGCCCGGCACTGGTCGGGGCGCCAGCAGGAGGCAGCCCATCGGAGTGTCTCCCTCACACCGACGTTCCTCTCTGTCTCTCCCTCTGCCTCCCACCCTCCCACACCTCAGTGGGGACAGTCCTCGGGAGAGGATTAGCGAAGAGAAGAAAAGCCATTGAGGTCCTCGGAACCGCACTGAATCCTGGGAGTTTGCTCCAGACACACACAGTGCCCGGTTCACACACACATCACGTCCCCGGCTCAGGCCCGGCGCTCGGGCCGGCCCGCCGGTTTCAATGCCGGGCCTCCGTGGTGTGGGTGCCGTGGCGCCCTTTCATCCCGCGCCCGCCGCCCGCCGCCCGCCGCCGCCGGGGCACAGTCGGGCTTTGTCTGTCGCCTTTAAGGCCCAGGCCCGGCCGCATTCGTCTGGCGGCGGAGCCGTTTACCCGGAAACTCTTCAGGGTCTCGAGCCGACGGAGACGGCGCTGGCAGATCACGGCGGGCTTACTTTTTCCGATCACGCCGCCACCCCTTCCCCGGCCCTGCCTGGCCGCCCGCCCGGGCTGAGACGCGGGGCCCATGTCAAGGGGCCTCACAGCCGCGCAGCCCCCTCCCCCCAGCCCCGTCTCAGGTGCGCGCCTGCCCAGGGCCGAGGCGGGCAGCGCTGGGTGCTGCTCCTTGGCTGGGCATCCGGCTTGTCACGGGAGGAAGGGAGCTCCCCCTCGCCCCACGGCTGCGGGCGTGTTTCTCGTTGGGAGTGGGGCCTCGCTGTAGCAGATGCTTCTCTGCATCTTTTGAGTTGATTACATGTTCTCCCTCCCGGGCTCCGTTGATGTGAGCGAGACGACGGCACTCGGTGCTGGGCCGGCCAGCCTGGGGGCGGGCGGGCTTTGCGTCTGTGCCGGTGAGGGGGGCCGCCCGCTATCGGGGTTACCCGGGTCCCCGGATGCCCGCCCGGAGGTTCGTGGTCAGAAGGACCTCCGGCGACGTCCCTGAACGGAAGATCTGGCGTAGGCATGGGGAGACGGTCCCATCTCCGCTTTAATGGTTTCTTGCGATTGGGCCATTTGGACATGTTTATCCCCTTTTCTGTGTCTCCTTTCACGTATTGTGTGTTATTCATCTACTTCTGATCTAAACTATAAGAATTGTCGAAGCCGGTGTGGCTCAGAGGATAGAGCGTCGGCCTGCGGACTGCAGGGTCCCGAGTTTGATTCCGGCCAAGGGCATGTGCCTTGGTTGCGGGCACATCCCCAGTGGTGGGTGTGCAGGAGGCAGCGGATGGATGTTTCTAGCTCTCTATCCCTCTCCCTTCCTCTCTGTGAAAAACCAATAAACTATATTGAACTGTAAGAATTACTTTTGTACATCAGGTTCTCTGGGCGGGTTTGAGAAGACACCTGTCGGTCTAGGACAGGCTCCTTTCTGATTCCCGCCGTCCCAGTCCGTCGCAGTGAGTTACCGGCCCTTCCCTTGCCGGATGCCCCTGACGCCACCCGGGTGTTCACGCCCTGGGCTACGCTCTTGTCTCTGTGGTTGGCTTTTAAATTCGCTCTTTTTTTAACATCTGGAGCCCCAGGCCGCCTCTCCTCACCCCGAGATGGGCGTCAGCCGCCCCGTGTCCCCGAGTGCCTGCTCCGCGGCCCGCGAGGCGCCTCTGCAGGTTTCCACCGGCGACACTGGCTCTGACCGGGCACCGCCCTGCAGCCCCTTAGACCATCCAGGGCCCAGGCTGCCACCGAGGTGGGTGCCCTGGACGGACGGAAACGGAGCCCGGACCTTTGGTCCACAGGCTGGCACCCTACCTACTGAGCCACACCGGCCAGGCCTGACCGCTGTGTAAGTCCTCGGGAAACATGGTGGCCGGGGCCACGCGTCTGAGCTTCCTTGCCCGCCGTCCCATCCTGAGCGCTCAGCCCCTCCCCGTCCCTCCCCGCTTCCTCTGGGGTCCTTCTCTCTGTCTGGGGGGCAGGGGGCGGGGGACCCCATTCCTCCTTCAGGCCGCTCCCTGGAAGCGGGGCCTCGGTTTGGGCTGCACCTTTCTGTGCGTGTCCATTCGTCTGTACACACACAGTGCACACAGAGCCCCGTCTGAGCCGGCTCAGCACACAGCTCAGCGGGATGAGGCGCATTCACACGGTCCTACGCCCCCCACCCCCGCCAGCACCCTCGCCTGACGCTCTGTCCCCGCCCCCCCCGCCCGGCGCCCCCGCCCGCTTCCTGTCTCTGTGGCTCTGACCCCACGGGGACCTCCGGGGCTCGGCAGGTCTGTCCCTCCGGGCCTGGCTTCTCTCACTCGCACCTCCGCGTACGAGGCCCGTGCGATGGGTATAGAACGCTGAGTTGATAATTGTCCCCGAGCACTTTGAAGATGCCATCTGGCTTTCCTCCTCCCGCTGACAAGCCGGCTGCCCCCTCCTGGCCTCCTGCTCCGGACACGCCCGGGCCTCCCCCGCGGCTCAGCCTCCTTGGGCCGGGGTCTCCCTGTGGGTGTCCAGAGCAGCCGGAGCGGGGGGCACGGCCCGCCGCCATCGGGGGACACGGCCGCCCCCATGTCCTCGGGACCCCACGCCCCCGTGTCTCCAGGCCCCCGTGCCCTGACGAGGGAGGACTCTGGCCGTGGCTCCCGGCTGTGCTGTTTCCTCGCGGTTCATTCCGCTTTTTTCCGCTCCCGGGCTATTTTCATCCGCTCACAAGTGTCCTTATCTCCACGCCGGCCCTGCTCTGCGTCCGGGCGCCGCCACCCTCCGCGCCCGCGATGGCCCTGTGTCCGGGGTTCTCTCTGGTCAGGCTCCCAGAGATCCTTACTTCTCTGGCAAGCGCTCGGCTTTCTCCAGCGAGACCCTTGAACCTGTTCATCCTGGTTACCGAAGACCTCAGCCCGGCCGGCGGGCTCAGGCTGAGCGTCGACCGTCCGTTCCCCGTGTCTTACCTGAAGTCCCCTGCTGGTAGCAAACACCCACGTCCGTGGCTGAACACGGCGCTGGCCGCTCACGATGGCGGGGCGGCGCTGCTGGCGCGGCGGGCGGGGGCGGGGAGACCCACGCGGCTGCCGAGACGCTGGCGCTCGGGATGGGTGGTCCGGTGGCCTCGCCCTCGTGTCCACTGCTCAGTGCGGGCTCCTGGCCGGCAGCTCCGTCCTCCCGGCCCCCAGGGCCCCTGAGCTACACACAGCGGGACCTCCCTCGCATTCTTGCCCTCTCAGCAAGTTCAAGGTCATCTCAAGTTCAAGAGCACGTACGTCACTGAGCCTCCCCCCTCTCGGATCTGTTCCCGGATCGAGCCCCCGTTTCTCAATCTCTGGGGGGCTGAGACAATGCCGGGCTCCCTGCCCTGGCACCGCCTCCTCTGAGGGGACCGGTTCCCTCTGGCTGCGGAAGGTGCCGGCAGGCACCTTGGTCCAGGGTGGGACGGGATGACCTGAGGCGATGGGGGTCTCAGGCGGGAGCCCCCCTCCTCGGGGGGTTCTGAACCCCATTCTTCTCAGCGCCTGTGGCCTCCTCTGCTTGGCTTTCTCCTCCAGCGGCTCCTCTGGCTCAGCCACCAGACCGCGCCGCTGAGCTCGCAAATGCCTCGGGCCTGTGGGCAGGTGCTCCCCACTCTGGGGTCCCCTCAAATCCGTGATGTCTGTGTGCCCTGGGCGCCCTGCTTATCCCAGCCCCTGGGGCCTTGCTTCCCATTCAGCCTGTATCCATGCCATGGCCCCAGGGGGCTGGGGACACGGGGGCGGGTGGCCACGGGGAGGGTGCGGGGGGGCGTGCTGCTCGGCTTTGGACAGTTTCAGCGGGAGGTTTGGTTGGAATAAACATCGGACCCCGTGTTCTTCCCTCCGTTTTTCTCTGCGATCGCATTTCGTGGACTGTGGTGTCTCTGTTGACGGTGCTTCTAGAAGGAGCTTTGGAAACAGAGCCGATCGGCTCAGTAGTGACCGTCCTCGGCCCCGGGCCCTGCAGCCCACGCGCTGTCCAGACGCCCCCCCGGAAGGGGGCACGGAGCGTCCGGCTGAAAGGGGCCTCGGGTGCCAGCTCCCACCCATCCCCTTAGCGAGTGGGCCCTGAAGGCCCCAGAGAGACAGCCGTGTCCGTGGCTCTGCTGTGAGCTAGGACAGCCAGGCGAGCCCGGGCCGCTGCGCCCGGCGGGCACTGACACCGCCCCCCCCCCCAGGCTGCGGGAGCACCACCGGGCCGCCATCAAGGTCATCCGCCGCATGCAGTACTTCGTAGCCAAGAAGAAGTTCCAGGTGAGTCCCGCCCGCTGCCCGCGCCCGCCCTCCGCTCGGCTCAGAGCGACGGGGCTCCCGGCTCCCACAGGGGCGACCCCGGCCACGGTGCCTGTCCACCTGCGGCCCCTGCTCCCACCCCTCGGAGGCCCGGGCCCGTCCGCGGGGGTGACGGTGCCCGGGCCGGGCGGGTGACCGTGCTGTGCCCGCGGGGCCGGGCGGGGGGCCGGTGCCCGGGCCGGGCGGGTGACCGTGCTGTGCCCGCGGGGCCGGGCGGGGGGCCGGTGCCCGGGCCGGGCGGGTGACCGTGCTGTGCCCGCGGGCCGGGCGGGGGGCCGGTGCCCGGGCCGGGCGGGTGACTGTGCTGTGCCCACGGGGCCGGGCGGGGGGCCGGTGCCCACGGGCGGGCAGGGTGACCGTGCTGTGCCCACGGGGCCGGGCGGGGGGCCGGTGCCCGGGCCGGGCGGGTGACCGTGCTGTGCCCGCGGGGCCGGGCGGGGGGCCGGTGCCCGGGCCGGGCGGGTGACCGTGCTGTGCCCGCGGGCCGGGCGGGGGGCCGGTGCCCGGGCCGGGCGGGTGACCGTGCTGTGCCCGCGGGGCCGGGCGGGGGGCCGGTGCCCGGGCCGGGCGGGTGACCGTGCTGTGCCCGCGGGCCGGGCGGGGGGCCGGTGCCCGGGCCGGGCGGGTGACTGTGCTGTGCCCACGGGGCCGGGCGGGGGGCCGGTGCCCACGGGCGGGCAGGGTGACCGTGCTGTGCCCACGGGGCCGGGCGGGGGGCCGGTGCCCACGGCCGGGCGGGTGACCGTGCTGTGCCCGCGGGCCGGGCGGGGGGCCGGTGCCCGGGCCGGGCGGGTGACCGTGCTGTGCCCGCGGGCCGGGCGGGGGGCCGGTGCCCGGGCCGGGCGGGTGACCGTGCTGTGCCCGCGGGGCCGGGCGGGGGGCCGGTGCCCGGGCCGGGCGGGTGACCGTGCTGTGCCCGCGGGCCGGGCGGGGGGCCGGTGCCCACGGGCGGGTGACCGTGCTGTGCCCACGGGGCCGGGCGGGGGGCCGGTGCTCGGGCGGGCGGGTGACCGTGCTGTGCCCGCGGGGCCGGGCGGGGGGCCGGTGCCCGGGCCGGGCGGGTGACCGTGCTGTGCCCGCGGGCCGGGCGGGGGGCCGGTGCCCGGGCCGGGCGGGTGACCGTGCTGTGCCCGCGGGGCCGGGCGGGGGGCCGGTGCTCGGGCGGGCGGGTGACTGTGCTGTGCCCGCAGCAAGCCCGGAAGCCCTATGACGTGCGCGATGTCATCGAGCAGTACTCCCAGGGCCACCTCAGCCTCATGGTGCGCATCAAGGAGCTGCAGCGAAGGTGGGCAGCCCAGCCGTCCCGCACGCCCTGCCAGGCTCCCCCCTGGCCCCCCCTGGCCCCCCAGCCCCAGGGGAGGGCGCCCAGGCAGCTCCGCCCGGGTCCTCACACCCGGAGAGCGAGCGGCCTTGTCTGGAGGCGGCGGGCGGCGTGGGTGCCGCAGGGCACGCAGTGAGCTGTCCCTCCCTCCCAGGCTGGACCAGTCCATCGGGAAGCCCTCCCTCTTCATCGCCGTCTCAGGTGGGTCCGGGCCCGGGCGCCCTCGGGGCACCCGCTGGGTTCCGGCTGTGACAGCCAGGGAGCGGGCAGGGCCCGGCACAGGGGTGTGGCCACTCCGGGGAGGACGGGGGCAGGTCCCCGAGGCCGCCTTCCCAAGGTCACAGGGAATCACATCCCGCAGGCAGGGCCCGGGCAGCACGTCCCCACGGGCGGGGGGGGGGGCTGCAGGGGGGTCGCACAGCAGGTCTCCGGCTCACAGGCCACAGCGCTGGGAGGTGCAGCAGGAGGGGCCCGGCCATCCCCCTTCCCCCCTCACTGCACCCCTTATACCCACCCCCCTCACTGCACCCCTTATACCCACCCCACCTCACTGCACCCCCTCACTGCACCCCCCTCACTGCACCCCCTCACTGTACCCCCCTCACTGCACCCCACCTCACTGCACCCCCCTCACTGCACCCCACCTCACTGCATCCCCCCTCACTGCACCCCTTATACCCACCCCCCTCACTGCACCCCTTATACCCACCCCCCTCACTGCACCCCTTATACCCACCCCACCTCACTGCACCCCCCTCACTGCACCCCACTACACCCACCGCACCCCACCTCACTGCACCCCCCCTCACTTCACTACACCCCCCACCTCATTGTACCCCTTATACCTACCCCACCTCACCGTACCCACCTCACTGCACCCCGCTGCACCCTCTGCACCCCACCCTCTGAGTTCTTGCCGCAGAAGGTCATGGCTCAGCTCCCCCCGTGGGCTCCCTCTCCCTTAGTCATGCTTCTCCCCAAACACGCGGGCCCACGGCGGCCCCCACACGCACATCCTTGACACAATGTTTTGCCTCCAGAAAAGAGCAAGGACCGCGGCAGCAACACCATCGGCGCCCGGCTGAACCGCGTGGAAGACAAGGTAGGCCGAGGCCCAGGCGCTCCGGGCAGCGCCTCCCCGTGGCGGCGGTCAGTTCGGGGCCCCCTTGGAGCCCCCCCGGCGGCCGCTCGCCCTCCGGGTGTGAGGACCCGGGTGCAGCTGCCTGGGTGCCCCCCCTGCCCCGCTGGGCACGTCCGTGGCAGAAAGCCTGGGCCGCTGGTGTCCTGACCCCTGACCTGTGACCTCTTTGCTGCCGGTGGCTCCAGGCCCTCAGGCCCCTCCCCGAGGTAGCATCCCTCGCCCCCCGCCCGCGCACTCGGGGACCTCAGGTGTGTCATGGGGAAGGGGCTGTGCGGCCCCCACTGCGCCTGGGGAGGGGTGTCGGCCGAGACCCCGCTGGGCCAGGGGGGACCCGTGTGCCTCCTGGGGCCTGGGAGCGGGCGGCCGGCGCTTTTGAAGTCCGTGGGAGCGGGCTTATCTGCAAGCAGCTCCGCTGCGCGTTATCGCGTCGCCGGCCTAAAAATAGAGGGGTTTCGGCTGGGCTGGGGGTGCTGCCCTCGTTTCCCCGGCAACGCCTGGCTCTGGCCCGTGTCCGGGGCTGCAGCGGGGCCGGGGGCAGGGCACGGCCCGTCCATCCGCCTTCACCTGCACCGGGCTGCGCCCCGGGGGCCCCAAGACCCGTCCGGGGGTCTGGCCGAAGGGAGGCCGCTGTCCAGGGTCAGCATGGGCCTGAGCGTCCTGGGCCCCTCTCCAGGCACGGCCCTGTCTGGGGAGACTGGTCTGTGCCATCTTCACCCCCTGCTGCCCACGGAGACGGGGTCCCCTGCCCAGGGACCTGGGAGTGGGCAGGGATGCTGCCTGCTGGGTCTTGGCCCCGCTGTCCACCAGGGACCAGGGATGACCGTGCTTACTGGAGTCCCCGAGGTCCCAGGTGTGGGTTCTTATGAGACAAGATCTGTATAGTGCACGTGTGCCCCCAACCCAAAGTCACATCATCTTTAAAAATATATATATATGTTTTTATTGACTTCAGAGAGAGGCAGGGAGAGGGAGAGAGAAACATCCATGAGGGAGCTTCCTGCACACCCTACCCTGGGGACTGAGCCTACAACCTGGGCCTGTGCCTTTGACCGGAATGGAACCTGGGACCCTTGAGTCTGCAGGCCAACGCTCTGCCCACTGAGCCACACCAGCCAGGGCATCCACTCCTCTCCTGTCACCACCGTCAGTTAGGCCCCTCGGGCAACCGCCACATGGCTGTTTGTGTCGGCGTTTCTGTGTTCGGCCCCCCGTGTGCGTGAGCAGGCGTGGCCTTGGCATCGGCCACCTGACTGAGCTCGCTCAGCACGCCCTTCCGGGCCCCGCGTGCCGTCCCCCGCGGCCCAGTGGTCCCGCTGGGGCTCGCGCCCCCTCCGTCCACGGAGAGGTCGGCCCCGGGGGCCCGGGCGGTGTTCCCACGTTCCTGTCCGTGTCCGCTCTGCATGCGCGACAGTCACGCTTCCTCCTCCGCGCCTTGCTCCCCGCCCATCCGCCGCCATCACTAACGGCCTCCGTCCGGTTTGTCCTTCGTGGTGGAAAGTGTGCGTGGGGCCGGTGGACACCGTAAAATGGATTCCGTTTGCACCGTGAAGCAGCCTGGGGCGAGCGTGCCACGCATTTCAGTGAGGCCGGCCGGGTCCGCCTCCTCCCGCCTCCGTCCGGCTCAGAGCGTTCCCACCGCTGCCCCGAGCAGGTTCCCAAGGCCCACTTCCAGCCCCGCGCTCCCCCGCCCGCCTCGGCCGGCCGCGGGCGCTGACCTGCTCTGTCTCGGGGTCCCTCCATTTGGAACCGTGCCTCCTGGGCCGCGTCCCACAAATGGCATCAAACGGCTGGCCGTGCCCGGCCGGCGTTCTCACAGGGCCGGGGTCCGGGGTCCCCGAGCCCCCCGCGCTGCGCCCGCGGAATGCAGAACAGCGCCCCGTTGTGCGCCCGGGCACGCGGGGGAGCGGGGGCCGGTGATGGACGGCTGGATTGTTCCCAGCCGGGGCCCATTGTGGGCCCGGCCGCCGGACCTTTGTGTGCCGCGTTTGTGCGGACACACGTCCTGCCCGCCCGCCCGCCCGCCCGCTCGGGGTGCGGGCTGCTCCTGGAAACGCGGCCGGCGCGGGGCGGGCTCTGCGCCCCTGGCTGGCAGGCGGCCCCCCGTTTCCCAAGGCCCGGCCGCCCCGGTTTCCCACCCGTCACGTGCGGGGGGTCCCCGCTCCCCGTCTCGGCGCGGCCGGCCGGCCCTTTCATGTGCCCGGCGCTGGCCGGCGTGCCGTGGCATCTCATTGTGGCCCGATTCGCAGCGCCCTTGCCGCTAACGATGTTGAGCAACTTTTCATGTGCTGATTAGCCATTCACGCCGCCTCCGCGCGATGTTTATTCAACTCTCACGCCGCTGCTCTAATTACGCGGTGGGTCCCGTTGTTCTGCCGGAGCTGTTTACTGGCCGGCCCGCGGCCTTTATGGGACGTATGACTTGCAAATGTTCCCGTTCCGGGGCGGCCCTTTCACTCACTTAATCGTGTCTTTTGGGCCAGAGACGCTTTAAATTTTAATGAAGTCCCACCGCCGCTCCGCTCGGCCGCCGTGAATGGCGAGTCGAGGGGCCGCCTGATCCGGTCGTGAGCGTTTTCTTCTGGGAGGTTGGCAGCGTTAACTCTTAGGGGGACGGCGGGCGGGCGGCGTGGGAGCGTGGGGGGGCGAAGTCCGAGGAGGTTCTCCGCGCCCTCGCTCCGGCCTGTCAGCCCCCACACTCCACGGCCCTGTCTCTCCGCGCCCTCGCTCCGGCCTGTCAGCCCCCACACTCCACGGCCGTGTCCTCCCGTTGAGTTGTCAGCAGCCAGTTCGGCACAAACACCGGCCCCTCGTTCCTGACGAGCCCGCGGGGTCTGTCCTCAGTCCCACGCCACGGCGCCCAGATTGGCGCTTCCCCACGAGTCGGAGGGCGGGTGACGAGGCCTTCCAGCTCCATTATTTGCCAAATTGTTTGGCCCGTTTCGAAGGCCTATGAGTTTTTTTGTTTTATTTTGTTTTTTAAAAAAAATGCATTTTTATTGATTTTGGAAAGAGAGGAAGTGAGAGGGAGAGAGAGATAGAAACATCCATGATGAGGGCGCATCATGGATGGGCTGCCTCCTGTACGCCCCCTACCGGGGATCAAGCCTGAAACCGGGCCTGTGCCCTGACTGGGAATCGAGCTCTTGGTACATGGGTTGATGCTCAACCATCGAACCACACACGCTGGGCTGAAATTTTTTTTTAATTCACCCAAGGAGAAGGGGGTGTGTGGGGAGAGAGAGAGAGAGAGAGAGAGAGAGAGAGAGAGAGAGAGAGAGAGAGAGAGAGGAAAACATTGATCGGCTGCCTCCTGCCCACTCCCTGATGGGGAATGGAACCCACAACCTTTGGTGTACAAGACAACACTCATACCCACTGAGCCACACTGGCCAGGGCAGTCTGTGAATTTCAGAATCATTTCCGTCCATTTCTACAAAGCAGACGAACAGACAAACGCTGCAGGGCTGGGGTGAGGATGCATGTGCCCACAGCCGAGGTCCATCCACTGAGCCACACCAGCTTAGCTGGATACCTTTACTTTCGTGTTCTTCTCTTCTCTTCTCTTCTCTTCTCTTCTCTTCTCTTCTCTTCTCTTCTCTTCTCTTCTCTTCTCTTCTCTCCTCTCCTCTCCTCTCCTCTCCTCTCCTCTCCTCTCCTCTCCTCTCCTCTCCTCTCCTTTCCTCTCCTCTCCTCTTCTCCCCTCTCCTCTCCTCTCCTCTCCTCTCCTCTCCTCTTCTCCCCTCTCCTCTCCTCTCCTCTCCTCTTCTCCCCTCTCCTCTCCTCTCCTCTCCTCTCCTCTCCTCTCCTCTTCTCCCCTCTCCTTTCCTCTCCTCTCCCCTCCCCTCCTCCCTCCCCTCCCCTCCCCTTCCCTCCCTTCCCCTCCCCTCTCCTCTCCTCTTCTCCCCTCTCCTCTCCTCTCCTCTCCTCTCCTCTCCTCTCCTCTCCTCTCCTCTCCTCTTCTCCCCTCTCCTCTCCTCTCCTCTCCTCTCCTCTCCTCTTCTCCCCTCTCCTTTCCTCTCCTCTCCCCTCCCCTCCTCCCTCCCCTCCCCTCTCCTCTCCTCTCCTCTCCTCTCCTCTCCTCTCCTCTTCTCCCCTCCCCTCCCCTCCCTTCCCCTCCCCTCCCCTCTCCTCTCCTCTCCTCTTCTCCCCTCTCCTCTCCTCTCCTCTCCTCTCCTCTCCTCTCCTCTCCTCTCCCTCTTCCACTTACACTGGCCTGCACTTCCAGCAGAATGTGGACAGGAAGTGGCCAGGAGAAATCGGATGGAGAAAAGCTTTCAGTCTCTCGCCACCACGTGTGACGGCAGCCTGGGCTTCCCCGGAGTCTCTGGCGGTGGGAGCCTCTTCCCGGGAGGGTGTGGCTCTCCCGCGGGCTCTGCCCCACATCCTCTGACGGGGTGACGCGGTCAGGACCTGGGGTGTTACACCAGCCTCCCGTGCCCCGCGGCTCAGGGCTACAGACTCCTTTATCGGTTGCTGGGTTTGGCGTGTGCTGTCTTGTCTGTGTGTGTTTGTAAGGATGTTATATGCAGACTTACTCCTCACCCGAGGACACTTTCCGTTGACTTTCAGAGAGTGGAAGAGAGAGGGGAGCGATACCATCGACGTGAGAGAAACTCTCCGATGGGCTGCCTCCTGCACGCACCCTGGCCAGAGCCTGGGCCGGGGAGGAGCCTGCCACCAGGGTCCACGCCCTTGACCAGAATCGAACCCGGGACCCTCAGTCCACAGGCCAATGCTCTATCTGAGCCACAACAACCAGGGCTATTTACAAAGGACATTGACCTGTGGTTTTCTTATGGGTTTTTCTTTTCTTTTCTCTTTTCTTTCTGATTTTGGTGTCAGGCTTTTACCTTCCTTTCATTTCACACACACGTTTTGGGTGGCTTTTGTGAACAGTCCTTGGGTTTTAAAAATCACTTAACGCGTTTGCATTCAGTGTAGTTTCTGATGCGTTTGGGTCG